ATCAGGATTTTAAATTGAGAGATAAAATGAGGGACAGAGACAGAGGGAAAGAGGAGGAGAAAATCATGGACCTCCTTTTATCTAGTAGATGTAGTTCTAGAAACAAAAGGTATTTGAGGCTAATAAATCCTTTGTACTTGCATTATGATTTGGAGAGTGCTTTACTAATACCCTCTTTTCTCCAATTGGCGGTGGTGCCTAATTCTCCAGATTTCAGTTTCCTTACTCCTATCTCCACCTCTCTATCAAGTAATTAATAAATCAAAAGTAAACACAAGCATTCTGGAAAATTCCTAAGGAATCTTGGAACATATTACTTTTTAATGTCTAGATTCCTTTGAAAATGGGAGTCTTCCTGAGCTTGGATATCTGTCAAGGCCTATGTGAGAGAGGCCTGTGTCTATGTGAGAGTGTCCATAGGCTTTCCCTCAGGGACTCAGGTCCTGCAGTTCCAGTTGTCAGGGCTGCTGGGGGCAGGGCCGGAGGAGGCCTGGGGTTGGGACGTTGAGTAGGCACAGGAGCCTTTGCTCCAGGCTCGCTGGGGCCTCCAATTCTGGGCTCAGTGACTCTTCAGGCAGCATCCACGACTGTTTACCTGTAAAACCTCTTGTGCTATTTCTGCCCATGAGGATGCCATATTGTGAAAGCTTCTCCTTCCCATACATAGGGCCCTGATGAATAAAAATTAATATTTCAACTTGCACAACATTTCACCTATTCCTTCATTCACTGAACGGATACTTACTGAGCTTATCCTGCATGCCAGGCACTGAGCTGTCCCCTGGTAGATGAGGAAGTAAAGTCTGGCCTCTGCGCACAAGGAGAGTTTACAACCCGGCATCAAAATATGCAAGCAAATCGGAGGCCCTGAAGCTGGTGCGGTCTGTACTCTATACTAGGGGATCTGGCTGGGTGAGTGGGCACTAAAATCCAGCCTACCTTTGCCTATGCTCACCATGCCATGAGCCCTAACTCAGGGCTGCATTGCTCCACAAGACTACAAGACACCTTTGTCTAATTAATTCAAGAGATCCATAAGAGCTATTAGTGGCTCTGCACAAACAATTTTAATACAGTGAGTTGCAAGTCTGCTCGGAAGAGTCAGGAAAGGCTTTAAGTGGATACTATTTGCGCCAAGACTTGAAGGATTTGTAGGAGTGTAGGGTTTTTCTGGATAAACAACAAGGAGAAGGATGTTCTTAGCAGACCGCCCGGAAGTATGGGGAAACCATGCCTGAGAAGTAAACTTGAAGAAGTAAAAGTACTTGAGTGACAATAGCCAAGGCTAGACTATAAGCCGGTTGAGGAGGCCAGACCACATCAGGAAGTGAGGTGTCTTCATGCAAAGACCTTTCCATTTATTCTATAGGTGAAAGGTAGCCAGTGACTAGGTACGGGGAGTAAGATGTGGAGATGCCATTAAACAAAGCAGGGAATATAGGAAATGGGTGGGGGAATAGCCGATGAATTCAGAACTTGTAAGCAGCATGAAAATTCAAAGTTACCAATCACACAGAATGATAAAATTCAATTAAAGTAATCCAATGATTGTTTTGTTAGCCTAGATATATTTATAAACACAAATAAAGATAAAACTTGTTAGATTTATTAATTACTCATTTTTAAAATATTCATAATTTCTCTAATATCCCCTATTAATATCTTCTTAGACCATGAGATTTAGAACAGGAATTCCTGCAAAGACTAGTTCACAAATATTTGTGTAACCCATGGTGACACAGAATAATCTCTGACTCTCACCAGGTGTTCAATAAATGTGAATCCAGGGAAGGGAATTCTGGCCTTTACTGCCCCCACTACTCATTTGTCATATCCCATCTGGTGGCCAATGATGTTGGTTATCTGTTCATTTAAATATCTATTACTTTCATCACTGTTAAGGTCCACAGGGACAGAGATCAATTCATATCTACCACAAGGTTTTGCATATAATAAATGCATAATGAGTATCAGAAGGCTTTTGTAGAGGAAGTCTCTCTGCTAACTAATGCCTTCCAAAGTTTCAATAGGTCGCCTTGGTTAAAATGTACCTGGATCTATAAATACAGTGTGGAATGTCCTGCATCTGGGGATGATCAGCAGAAAAACTCTCCAACCTAAGCTCTAGGAACTTCTTCACCTGTAAATGAAGAAGACTACACACTTGTTAACTGTAAGAATTTAAACACTGTAGAAGAAAACTCAGAAGGGTTCCAGGATAAAAAGTCTTGGAGGTCTAAGCAAAATATAAATATTCTGGGTGGATATAGCACCTTTCTTACACACCTAAAGATACCAGGCCAGCCCTGAAGGCTAAATATTAGGAACAGTAATAATGGCTAAATTTAGGGGCAGCTGTGTGGTAAAGTCATTTAAGTGCCTAACTCTGGGTTTCGGCTCAGGTCATTATCTTGTGGTTCATGAGACTGAATCCCACATTGGGCTCCAAGGTGACAGCATGGGGCCTGCTTGGGATTCTCTCTCTGCCTCTCTCTCTGCCCCTCCCCTGCTCTCTCTCTCTCTCAAAATAAATAAACTTTAAAAAATAATGGCTAAATTTATTGTTTGATGTAGTAGACTTCATTTTAAGCACTTTGCATGTGTTTCCTCAGTTCATCTTCAAGACAACTTTGTGATGTGATTACTGGTATGTATCTCAATTGTTCAGATGAAGATATAGAGATATAAAAGCGACACTGGCCTATCTTGCCTGGAGTGGTCCACAGTCACACCCTGAGTTTAAGAATTCACTGAGAACAATATTCATTGAGTACAAATGATATGCCAGGACTCAGCACTAGGGACAAAGCCACATTCAATTCCAACAAAGTCCTTGTTCTCACAGGCTTATATCCTAGAGGGAGAGAGAGACAATCAATGAGTAAACCAATAACTAAACATAATGAATAAACTGGGGTATGTCTAATGAAGGAGATAAAGTGTGACAGAATGACAGGTGCAGTGGGGACAGTAGCCTGGAGGGGCTTTCGAGAAGAACAAGAATTTCTTGGCTTTTTCTTTTTTTTTTTGGTAAATGTTTTCATAAGAATAAAAAGCAGGGTTTTAAAAATGAAAAATGTTACCACATCTTTAAAAGTATTTTTATTTTTTAAAGTTCTAGTCCACCAGAAAAACAATCTCCCTGAGACACCCATTTCATTATTAATTCTTGCTTACTTCTTAATTTGGGTAAGCATTTTATTCATAATAATCTCTAGACACAGCCATTTTCAAAATGTTTTCCCCCTTCAACAAAACTACTACCCCAGCATCATTATTGGAGCTCTCCCAATCCTCTGACCCATCATCCTACTTGGCAAGAACCCTCAGAGATGAACATATAAACTTTCTACCATGCTGGGAGAGAGGATTTGCCTGCATTTTCCAGGCTGGCATGTTAGCATCCTGTCTGTCGGAATGTTTAAGAGCAATTGCCATAAAGTGAATTGACTGTCTCCTAAGTCCACCAGAGACCGGCGGATAGGAAATCTACAGAAATTCAAAATGCAGAGCTAACTACCAACCACAGAGCAGAGGAAGTGCAGTAATGTGCTCAGCCTATAAGCCTTTGCGGAGACACCCGTCTGCCTCCATCATTATTTATCATCTGGGTCTCTAGTTACTTCATTACCACAAGACAGAGAAAAAAGAGCCATGGATTCAACTTGTACTGGCTTCAGAGACAACCTTCTATACTTTAATACACTTTTTGGCTCACCATGTGAGTAGTGCTACCACAAAGTGAGACTGGGAAATCTGAGAAAATAAGACTCACATTTGCTTGCTTGAAAAGTTGAAAAGCCCTCAATCGTCCATGTCTAGAAAGGCTAAGATGCCCTCCCATTTGCCAGAACTGCCCACCCTCATTCTGTAGAGCCACTTCCAGTTCCCCAGGGTACAGCCTCTCAGGCCTGAATGAGATGATGACAGACTTCTTATAGAATACATTTTGTACGTAAGAAGGATACCCATCCATTTTGTCTCCACTCTGTACAAGGCCCTACTTTACATGTTAAACATTGTCTCACTAATAGGAAAAAGAAATCCATTGGGGTTGACCCGCATGAGACAGACCAGATCTTCAGCTCTGCGACTTAAACCTATTAGGAAATAGCACAAGAAATGGCTTCAGTGTATCCATTTCAATGATAGGAGAAATGGTCTCAGTCATATAAAACAATCTCTTCAGACTACAGCCAATCTTACAGATCTTTTTAACTCTTAAGCAACACCCCACATTTCATAAAGGATGATGACAATGTTATCAGTGAAAACATCACTTCTGATAAAACATATGGTCATGCATTTAAGTTCTTCTTTTTACATTTTTCCTCCAAGTGTACTTTCTCTGTGGAGCACATCTTCATAGTTACAGCAGTATGGTGGGCTTACAGAAGAGTCAGGATCAAAGGTTTAAAAGAACAAAGGAAAGCTACTCTCCCTAGCTTTCACATGCATTCTCTTACTCCCTTGTCACACACTCTTTGAGGATGGCATTGTTGTGCCTACTCTGCAGAGATGGGTCTGGCCTCTTGCTTAGGAGCAGAAAGCTAGTGCATCCTAGCTCTTCAATCTGCACCCATACCTCCCCACTAGATGAGCTCACTACCTGTGAAGCAGAATGGCCAAACAGCTATTTCTCCCTATCAGATCTAAAAAGTCAGGGCTTGTTATAGACAAGGTATGAAAATAGTCTGCTTGCCTGATGTGCTTCATATATCATCTTTATTTATGCATTTTTATAATCTGGGTAAAACCAGGAATCTAGAACTAGCCTTAGGTCATAGTAAAGAAAGGAAGAAACGATGTCTGTTGCCCAACTGTGTGTATGCAATGATAACGGAGAACAACATCACTTATAATGAGTCAGCACACAAACTTCCTGGAGCTTTCAGGGGGAAGTAGAAAGTGAACCCAGCCTGACATCCAAGATTTTCAACAACCTCTCAGTGTAACTACTTATTCAACCAAACCTAATACACCATCCTCTTGCTGGCCTTTTGCACATCAAGTGATCTGCCAGGTCCCAGAGTAGGCTGGTGGCAGAGGCAGGACTAGAACCCAGATCTTCCAACTCCTGACCTGGTGGTCTTTCCAATACGCTACTGCCTGATATATTTTACAGAAGATGGCGACCTAAATAATAATGGCGGCCACTACGAACTAGATGCGTACTCAGGGCCAGGGTCAGCAGTAAATGTTTTACATGAATGATTTCATTTAATCCTAAGAATTGCTGACCTACAAAGCAAATAAGGAAACAGAGGCTCAGAAAGATTAAGCAACTTCTCCAAGACGCTACTGCAGGTTAAGCAGCACAGCTGGAATGAAGCCCAGTCTCTCTGAAGCTAGGTCTCTTGTCTACATCAAATTACTTTTCTCTGCTCACCACGTTTGGTGAAAATTGAAGCGATTAAATGTGAACAACTGATATATCTGCTTATTGTTACAGTTTATTCCATCTACTTTACAAAAGTAAACCTTTATAAAAGTAGATTTCAAGAGAAACGTGGCACAATTAATCTGCTATTCCTGCCTCCTTACTGCTAACCCTTGAGTTTTCCAGAACGGTGCAAAGCTTTAGTCAGACAGTGTGAATCTGCTTTTGAGATACAAATATGTGTTTAAAGTGGGGGGGAGGAGGGATGATTTAGGTATAAAGAAAACATTTATTTAAATGATGAAGTTACAGTCTCCCAAACATGGAACATCAGGTATGCTGGGTAATACTGAGGGGTTTGGATATGGTGCCTGTGTTCACAGATTGAAAGGAGGCTCAGGCCATCTCTGAGCTTGCACTGCTCAATGCCATCTATCTCTGTATTTTCAGTGCCCCTCTTTTCACGTGTTGATGCTTAGAAAATAATTCTTAAGAAATAGTGTCTTGCAATCGCTAGGGAGAAAGTCTTGTTAACAGGTTTCTCAAAGTCGCTTGTAGTTAAGTAAAACTCAGGATGATGTCCTGGGGTACATACTACCATTGGGGAAGATCATTTAACCTCCCCAGATCGCGGGTTTGTTTTTTTTTATATGTTTATTTATTTATTTTGAGAGATAGCACGGATGAGTGGGGGAGGGGTAGAGAGGGAGAATGAGAGAGAATCCCAAGCAGGCTCTGCAGGGTCAGCACAGAGTCCTATGCGGGCTCCAACTCACAGTGAGATTGTGATCTAAGCCTAAGTCAAGCCTCAGAGGCTCAACTGACTGAGCCGCCCAGGTGCCCCGCAGTTTTATTAGTAGTAAAATGAGAGGCAATCTGAAGTCGTTTTACCTCAAAAATACTGTATTGTTACTGCTGATTACATACAGGAGTTCTAAAACCAACTCTCGTTCCATTCCGCTTTTATTCATTTGTTTCTGCCTTTTCTTTCGTTTCAGTTCCAGTTCTCCATTCAACCCCAAACACTTAGATTCGTAGCTACTACCTTACAAGCGCTTACATTTATTCGCAGCAGCAAAGCAATTTTTTTTTTCACTCCAAGGAAGTGCATTATCTTATTATGAATGAGAATGCAGTGCAGAGAGCATTCACATGGAACTAAGGCACGTATGATATACTCTAAGGAGGTACAGAGTACGCTAACATGATTTAATATTCTTTAGAAACCATAATGCCAATTTTTAGTGAAGGGATTCTAAACAGTTATTCTTATAAACTTAAAATGAGAGCTTCTGGGAACATCTAAATTAGAGCCACAATCATAAGAAGCACAGTGTGATGGCCAACATTGTTTTACTAAAGCTAACAAATGCTTTGGTTATTATAGCATTTTGTATTTTGAATAGGAGATATTTACCAATGATATATCCCATAAGGGGTTAATATCCAAAATGCATAGAAAATTATACAACTCAACACCTAAATCCCATAAGCAATCCGATTAAAAATGGGCTAAGGATGTGAATAGATATATTTCCAAAGAAGACATACAGAGAGCCAACAGACACATGAGAAGATGCTCTCCATCACTAATCATCAAGGAAATGCAAATCAAAACCACAAAGCAATATCCCCTTACACTTGTCAGGATGGCTAAAATAAAAAAGACGAGAAATAGTTAAGTGCTGACAAGGATGTGGAGAAAAAGGAATGGGGCCTCATGCACTATTGGAGGAAATGTAACTTGGTGCAGCCACTATGGAAAATAGTATGGAGGGTCCTCAAAGAATTAAAAATAGAAACACCATATGATTCAGTAATTCTACTACTGGATATTTACCCAAAGAAAATGAAAACACTAATTCAAAAAGATACTGAAGCATTCTTTATAATAGCCAAGATATGGAGGCAACCCATATTGACTGATGAATGGATAAAGAAGATGTGGTGCGTGTGCCTGTGACATGCGCATGCACACACACACACACACACACATACATACATGCACACAGGAATGTTGCTCAGTCATAAAAAAAGATGAGATCTTATCATTTGTAACAACACAGATGAACCTAGAGTATATTCTGTAAAGTGAAATAAGTCAAAGACAAATGATTTCACTTACATGTGGAATCTAAAAAACACAACTAATGAATAAACAAACAAAAAGCAGAAATAGACTTATAAATACAGAGAACAAACTTCTAGTTCCAGAGGGAACGGGGAATAGGGGATAGTGAAAATGGGTGAAGGGGAGAGGGAGATCCAGGCTTCCGGTTATGGAATGAATAAGTCATGGGAATCGAAGGCAGAGCATAGGGAATACAGTCAATGATATTATAATAGCAACATATTGGGGCAGATGGTAGCTACACTTGTGGGGAGCACAGCATAATGTATAGACTTGTCGAATCACTATTTTGTACACCTGAAACTAATGTAACATCATGTATAAATTATACTTCAATAATAAAAAGAGAAAAAGATATGTATGTCTGCATTTTAAGTAGCACCAGGAAGATCTTTTACTCCTCCATTTTGAAAGGTAATTAAAGATAAATTCATTTTAAAAGGTTTTTTTTCTGCTCTCCCAAACTTTTAATATAAAAACAGTAATTAATCAATACACGCATAAGTTAAAGGTCTCTCCTGGAACACTTGTGGTGACAGTACAGAAATGCTGTTTTCTTTTACCTGGGAAGAGCAGTGATTTTCCCCCATTTCTCCACACAGAATCTTCTTGGGCCATTACTTCCTCGGAGAGAAGCAAATCCTTCATAGGGAATGCTGGATGTGCCCGTGACAAACTATCGATCCAAGAAAACAGAAGGATAAAATGAAACCAAGAGACTAGCTGCTGAGAAACACATGGCATCATTCATGTGCAGGGCTCTTAGGGGAGAGCAGCTCGCTGGTGGGAAAGCCTGAACATGAAACTCCATGGGTGTGGGATAACCTAACACAAGAATTCTGACAAAGATCTGGGGAGCACTAAGGGAAGACAGTACATTATAAAGGATAAGGAGATGCAGAGGGTCTTAGTGGATAAAACCGGCTGTGCAGCTAACCAGCTCAGGAGACTAAACTGGGTTTATTTCCCATTATAGATTAATAAAGTGGGTTATTAATTAACCTAAGTCTGCTTAGCATCAGTCCCCGATCAACTTGAGGTGAATAAATTTGAGGACCAGATCCTTGATCCAAAGGAGCTAAGACCCAATCTACTTGTAAGGCTCTGCCTAAGCATCTAGAAGGCTTGCTCATGTTTGATATTTCTTTGGCTGCAATCAACCAGCAAATGCCTGCGTAACTATAAACACCACAGGAAAATAATGAGTTAGTTTCCCCAGTGTCTTTGAACTTCACTGTTATCTCAACTTTGTGGAAAGTTACATGGAAGAAAAGATTCTTTTTCAAAGACCTGGTCACTTCCTAAGGGACTGAAGGTCATTTTCTATTGCTAGATGTGCTGCCCTGCACAGTGCCCTGGGATCTTGTATTGAAGGGACCAAGCTGACCCGAAGGCAGGTGTTTTTCCTGGGATTCTTGGACTGGAGTTGGTATTTCCTCAAAATTCTAATGAAATGCTTGCATGTGGTTGGGGATGTTCTGCATAGCGATGGAGCCACAGAACCACACAATCAGAAGGGTCTGAAACAAGGTATCCCACATTTGCAGACAAATATGGGGTGTGTGTACTGAGTACTTGGCAATTATTAAAAATAGCAATTACAACAATAATAATATTAATGCATTAAAACATTAACTAATGGCATCTTACCTGTAACAACCTGAGTCGCTGTTCATTGTTGAATCTTTCCACTGCAGCCCAGAACCACCGAATTACAATATGATTGTCATGATATCCTATTAAACCAATCAGGAAAGGCCACATTACTTTGACTCTTCTATGTTAACATGACATGACACCATGATGTGTCGACAAAAGATCCCAGATATAAATCATCATCTTGGATTCTTTAAAGGGTGTTTATAATTTAAGACTGGGAATAACACTGTAAATATAATCACATGAGTGTCAGAAGTCAAACAAAACAATTCTCAATGAAACTAGGAGGTCTCTGTTTCCATTTAATGGTCAGTAAACAAAACTGGTGGAGAGAAGAACAACAGAGTTGCCATTTTAACCATTTTCATTTCTGAAAAATATAGTTGCTGTTACTGGAAGTGCCTACTCTTTTGGTCATTCATTTAAGAAATAATTTTCAAGTATCACTATGCCAAGCACTGTACTAAGCTTGGGAGTAACAGTGGCAAAGAAAATAGAACCATACAGGGTTTCTGGTAAAGGAGAGACAACGTTAAGTTGTTAATCAAATAAGTATACAAGTAAATATTTAATTGCAAACTATTTTAAAACTACATATAATGTTCATATTTTTAAATCAGCTTATTTTTTATTAATAAAAAGGAAATAGTAATTTTGTTACTTTAATTCCTTCAACTAATAAATCCTAAATAATCATTAACCTAAATGTTACTTTTATTCCATAGTTTAGTAGAATTTAATAAAATGTCAAAAGTATCATGCCTGGGTAGATTAAGGCAGTAAATGTGGATTCCAAAATCCTTCATTGAAGAAAACTAAGTTGAGAGAAGATGAAAGTACAACTGGTGATTCAAACCAATTAACTGACATGCTCAAGGTGCATAAAGCTACTCTCGTTCTGAGTCAGCACAAGTCCAACATAGAAGGTGGGTAAAAACTATTTTAATTTGAATTTTTGCTCACATGTTACAGTGGTTGTAGAATTTGGGAAAAAATGTTGCCTTACTGTTTAGCATTTGATCAATGATGCTAAGTGCCCTTTGGACAAGAAAGGGATCCAACTGAAAGATAAATATACTTAGACTGGACATGGTGATGTATAGGCTCCATGTCATTTGGCAGAGAGTTGTTATTTGGTGCTGAGCAAATAGTCTTCTCATCTATAAAATAAGTACATTGGCTCTTTCTAGCTCTTCTGATCTTATGAATTGGCCCCTTTCTGCTTTTCCTTTGCTCTTTGTGCCAAACCTTCTGGAGGAAGACAGCAAGTGTCTCTTCATATTCTGTATAAACAGCTGCCTAACGACCATATGGCAGGTGGCAGAGCTGCCTCTTCATTCAATGCCAGCTAGTTGGGTCAGCAAACAGCTGGGTATCTCATCCATTTCCCTGCCTCCCCACCCAGAGCACTCTCTTCCCAAGCAATTCATTTGGTAATATTTACAATAACCAAGGAATAGGGACTTGATTAGACATATACAGTGAATAAAGTTTACAATACATAATTATGAATATGGCTGATTTGATTAACAGTGTTGCTATTAGAATCTCCCTGGGTGGGAGGAAGAGCTAATGGTTTTGATAGTAAGGTTTATAAGTTATGTAGTATGCTGGAGAAATTGTGTTCTAGTTAGTAAAAAGAATTTGGTCAATACAGTTAAAATAACCAAGTTACAATAACCAATGCTGCATATGGGTTACACATGGGGCCAGTTGGAAAAGATGCATCGTAGCAATTGGGTTTCAGAAATAGCAGCAAGAGAGACTGCAATTTAATACTGCCTTTCAGAGAAAATGGGCGTGCAGGGCCAGCCCATGGCAACAGTGATGAGCTGGAAGAGCCACGAACAGGCAAGAACAAAAGGAATTTAGCAAATGTTAAGGTTTTATTTTTCTCCAAACTTAAAAAAAATTTAATCGTTTCAATTTACAGGTAACTGGAGATATAGATGTTCAGCTCTCAGTTTATTCTGCTAAGTGATTAGTTCAGTGCTTAAAGTTTGTGGTTTTTACTCTCCAAGTTCAGAAATACTGCTAACCTTACATTCTGAGTTAAAAAAACACAAACCAAAATCAAAACAAAAAACAACTGTTATTTGTCACGACTTTCTGAAGACTATCACACTGCAATAAATTTCAGAAAATGTATTCTTTCTTTGCTTAAAATTATGGGATAAAACTTTAACTCTGGATCACCCTCAGGTCTGTTTCTAAGCATACTGACTTAGCAATGAGATTTCAATGGCTTCAGTCTCAAGTGCTAATTGACAATTTATAGTGATCTACTGAAATGCCACATCTAAAGCTTCCCAGGCGGTGAACTGTCATACAATGCAGGTTTTAATGATTCTGATGGTAGTTTCCTTTTCAGTTGAACTTCATGCTTGAATTTAGAAGGGCCTGTTCAATAAGCTTCTTGTATTCTGAGAACCACGTCTTATTCCATTTATTTGTTTCAACTGTGAATTACGACTGATAAGTAGTTCAGTGAAATGCTTAACACTGCCTTTGGGAAGCTTAGAGGGTGTGTCGCTTCAAGTTTGAGAATGAAGGGAGAAGAGGTGGAGTTTGACCAGCTGGATGTAAGCTCCCTGGTGCTTCACTAACAACACCATAAAACAATTAATTAGTGTTCTTATGATCCCATTTCTTCACTAACAATTAACAGTTATGACATTCTCAGATGGTGTGTAAACAGTCCTTCCTCCACTTGATGGATGAGGTAACTAGGAAGAGAAGGGAATGTACCTTGCCCAAGGTCTCGGAGAAGACTGCGGCAAACCTATGATTATAATACAGAGTGCCTTGCCTGTCCTGGATTCAGACTCACGTGCTAACCATTTGCTTCCCCTTAATACGAAAAACTTAAAAATCCAGCCATCTCTAAATCACATTTCACCTCCTCTATATTCTGTGTTGTTTCTCCAGTCGCTCAGGTCGATTTCAGCTGTGCCTGCAATGACGAGTTCCAGTTCTCTTGCATCAAAAACAGACACCAGCCTGGCATCCACCACCTGTGGAGTAAAAAGAATGCAGGGCATGGCTTACGAGTCAGGAGAAATCTCGGCTATAATTAAGCCTCATCAGAAAAGGAGGGCACAAGGAATTTTAGGAATACTATATGGAAGTGCTCTATGTAGGCACTTTGAAGATTGCAAAGCTCTCGACAAATAGAAAATATTTTTAGTACAAGATAGATGAGATTCTCCTCAATGCAATTTTCATTTTATTTTATTTTATCTTTAAATTAATGTTTTATTTATTTTTGAGAGAGAGAGAGAGAGAGAGCAAGGGAGGGTCAGAGAGAGAGGGAGACACAGAATCCAAAGCAGGCACCAGGCTCTGAGCTAGATGCCAGCTAAGAGTCCAAAGCAGGGCTTGAACACATGAACCGTGAGATCATGACCTGAGCCGAAGTTGGACGCTTAACCGACTGAGCCACCCAGGAGCCCCTGGAATTTTCATTTTAAAACTGACCCCTGTTTAATCCAGTTTGTTTTTCTCTTTTAAAAAGATCTAGTGCTCCTCCAGAGGAAATCACATGGAGGAATTGTAATAACTCATTCGAACACTCAGATACAATCACTTCCCATATCAAGCATGAGATGTGATTACCCATATCGAAGCATGAGTAAGATGGATGACTTCAACGTTATTAGTGGTCATTAAGTCATGAAATGCTACTCAAATTCATCATTTTATTTCAAAGATCTCTTGTAAGGAGGCATGGAACTTTTTTGTGTTCTTGAAACATAGAAAAAATATATTGGAGTTTTTAAATTGAGAGTGCAATAGTACATACAACAAAAGATAAAGGGAACTATCTCACACAAATAAAGCACCAGAAGACAGACTATAGATTCACAGATATCAGCCTGCAAATCCCCACTCCCACTGACTGTCTTTACCTCGTAGAAGCCACGCACTAAGCTCTCCGTTTGCTGAACAACACCCCTCTCAATCCTCCATTTCACCATCCTCTCGATGTACTCCTTCTTATTCTTCTCTGTGACCGGGATATTGGCACCCCCTGGTTTTAATTCTCGTTCGGTAATCTGAGATTAAAAATCAAAACAAGACACTGAACATAAAGCAATACTCTTGATATTGTGAGAAAACTGCTACCAGTGAGCCTAAATCATCCAGCGATTTGCCCTTGCCCTGACCAGGGCTGGAGGCAGGTTCCCACAAGCAGTGGAGGTGGGGGCACAACACGAAGCCCACCCACACACCGATGCTCAGTAAAAACTAGGCACTGAGCTGACATCTGAAAGCCTGAGTAGTTAAAAATCTATATACTGGGAGCACTGAAGGTTAAGCTTTAAATCCTAAGTCTTTTAAATGAAAATAAATTAGCTCCAGGTTCTGCTCCAGTGCTACTGGAATGTTTGGCAAAAACATATTTTCACAAATTCCATTAGGGTTCAAAATCAACTACATATCAAAAGCCAATATTTAAGTAGAGATTTGCCTTAAGGAAGCAGAATTACATTTAAGTGAATGTTAAGTTGAGAACTTTTCCAAAACACAAAATTCAGAAGAC